CAAAAGATATCGTTAAATATTTTAAAACTATTGATGTTAAGAAAACGGCAGACTTATGGGGGATTTCCGTTAAAGTTATTTTATCTATAATAGATACATTAGCACCTTATCTAGCCACTATATTTAATATAAGCGTCGAATCTGGTGTGTTTCCTGATTTAATGAAACATAGTAAAGTCATACCTATATTTAAATCTGGTAGTAGATTAGACCCCGCCAATTTTAGACCAATTTCTGTACTACCAACATTAAGTAAAATTTTTGAAAAAATTATTTTAGATCAGATGTTAAGTTTCTTTAATATTAATAAATTGCTACATAATAATCAATTCGGTTTTACAAGGGGTCGCTCGACAACTGACGCTGGAGTTGAGCTTATTAAACATATTTTTTGTGCATGGGAGAATTCAGAGGATGCTTTGGGTATATTTTGTGACCTTTCCAAGGCCTTCGACTGTGTTCACCATGAGACATTAATCAGGAAGCTACAGTACTATGGTGTCAAGAACACAGCGCTTAAACTTATTATTTCATATTTAAGTAATAGAAAACAGAAGGTTATTATCAATGGTAAAAGTTCTTCCGGGTCACCTGTACTAATGGGTGTACCTCAGGGCTCGATTCTCGGCCCATTCCTGTTTCTGGTGTATATTAATGACTTACCTCACCTTGTAGGGGATAGTCATGATATAGTATTATTTGCTGATGATACTTCCTTGATTTTTAAACTTAAACGTCAATCATTTAAATGTGACGAAGTGAATAATGCTATATCAAAATTAGTGCATTGGTTTAACGTTAATAATATGCATTTGAACGGAAATAAAACTAATTGTGTTAAATTTACAACAACGAATGTTCAAAATCTGAATACCAATGTGTTTTTAAATGGGGAGGAATTGAGCCCTGTTGTATCCACTGTTTTTCTTGGCATCACTCTTGACGCAAAGCTCCAGTGGGGCCCCCATATATCCAAATTAGCAAGCAGACTAAGTTCTGCAGCCTATGCTGTAAAAAAGATTAGAGGTCTCACTAGTGTCGAGACAGCTAGATTAGTTTATTTTAGTTATTTTCATAGCATAATGTCTTATGGGATTTTGCTATGGGGAAATGCGGCTGATTCAGAAACTATTTTTGTTTTACAGAAGAGGGCCATTAGAGCTATTTACAATCTAAAACCGAGAGAGTCTCTTAGAGATAAATTTAAAGAAATTAATATATTAACTTTGGCCTCTCAGTATATTTACGAAAATTTAATGTATGTTCACAAAAACAAAGATAGTTTTAGTAAAAGAAGTGATATACATTCTGTAAACACTAGGAACAAACACAAGCTAGTGATACCAGTTTCTCGACTCCACAGAGTCAGTAATTCATTCTTGGGGCAATGTATACGCTATTACAACAAGGTCCCGGAAAGTGTACAGGTTCTCTCTATTACCAAGTTTAAATGTTTTATTAAGCTGAAACTGTATAAAAAGGGTTATTATAGTATAAATGAATACATGGTTGATAATAACCCCTGGGAATGAGGTGATCGCTTCCAAGCAGTTTCTAAAATAAATTTTGTAAATAGTTCGTAATCATTTATATTGTAAAATTTATTTAAAAAAAAAGTCCCGCTGGGTTTCTTGCTGGTTCTTCCCAGGACAGAGGGTTTTTTTCGAACCAGTGGTAAAGTAAAAAATGACTTTCAATAAGAATTACACATGTAATGTATATTGAATAAAAAATATTCTATTCTATTCTATTCTATTCTATTCATATAAGTGAGAAGTTGCGTTTAAAATAAAAGTTTATCGGTTTCTAGATTATTATGTAAATACATAAAACAATGTCTCCTCAGTGGTTCGCTCCATAATATTTTTTACCCTTTTTAAAAATGTTCTACTTTTAGGAATGACCGTATTTATTCATTTCTAATGTAATTAATATAACATACTAGCGATCCGCCCCGGCTTTGCACGGGTGATTTCTTGACCTCGACAACAGCTCCACCTACCGCGTCCAACTGAGTTTTTAAACTCAAATACACCATAAATTCATCAAAAACGGTCGAGCTATTTTCGAGTTTTTGCGAGACTTGCGAGCAACTGACTTTAATATATAGATATAAGTAGTATTGCGGAAAGAAACATTTACTTCCCCACCATATTTTTTTTTGTTTGTTTGTTTATAAGTCACTTGTTTTATTTTTAATTGTAATTTGTCATGTGTGTAGATGTAAGTGTTGGAATAAATGTCTTTATGTCTTTGTCTTATGTCTTATATAATCTGGGAAATATTTCACCTCATTCCTAAGTGCAAAAAGTGTTGGAGGCCCTCACTGCTATAGCTTAGAATCTAGATTAAAATGCACAATCACTTATAGGTAATCATCACTTACATAACAAAACACTCAAATTACCTAATTAGACTGTAAACTTAGCTGCATCCCTAAAATTGATAGTTTTCCATGTAACGGTTACCAATGAACATCTTATTCATTGCATAATAGAGACCTATAATATCACCGTAGTCCAGGAGTGAGGGTATGTGAAGTTTTAGGGTAGGTTACTAGTAAAGCAAGTGTCAATGGGCTGTAGTAGTCACTTAACATCGTAACCAGTTCGTTAGCCACTTCAGTTTAATGAAATAATTAAATGCTTGTAGGTATTCCCTGCTTTCGAAATGAACGAGTTAAGTTGACTTACATTAATCAGACTTATTTTCTATTATCTGCTTACGCAATCAAAAATCCGACGATAGCTGTCATATTTACTCTCAACTTTTTTTTTAATTCATAGATAAAGGGTTTTGTCGCTGATGCGATTATGCCGCCCTGGTAATTACAAAAATCTTAAATGTAATAATTAGTAACAAATAAACATAATACTTAATCTCTTACTAACTAACAAATACAGTTTTTTTGGCATCATCTGATAACGTGTCCGATAAAATACTATTACTACTACTCCAAACTTAATTAATACAATTGGTAAAATTAAAAATTTTGTGCAACTGTCTTCAATATAAATTATAACTCAAAAACTAGTAGTGATTAAATTTCGGGGATCACGAGAAGCACCAGCATTCAAATAAAAAAAGAATCATTGAAATCGGTTCACCTTCATACGTGGTAGAGCCATGCTGCAGCTATATTACTAGTATAGTTGTAGCACGAATGGGTCGGCTCGACCGGGGAAGGACCACGCTCTCACAGAATACCAGCGTAAAATAGCAGCTTAATGCTGCTGCGTTTCGTATGGTGAGTGTAGAGAACCGGAGACCCTTTTACTGGAAAAGAGGCATTCTATCTTAGCCCTCACGGCTGGCAACGCATCTGCGTTTTAATTCGCAAACGAAGATAGATGTAGATGTATATAGACCGCAGCAACTACTTACCATCAGGTGGACTGTGTGCTCGTTTGTCATCCTTATTCTATAAAAAAAAACCTAGAAAAAAGTTATGAGGTAGCACACATAAAAATATACAGCCTTATGAGTACCTCCTTTTTGAAGTCGATAGAAAACATCGATAAGAATCCCCATCGTCGACATTTCTCACGTCTAAACTTCTGATAGCTTTGAATGCCTTTCATACTCTCCGTACGCCAGAATGGGCTGCAAACCTGATAATATTTTCGCGGCGCATAGTGAACATGAGTTATCTGAAGATCTTCCGTGGACACAGCTAGATAAACGACGCTGAGTCAAGTCCAGCCGGGTGACGCAACAGTGACATTACTGTCCGCTGCTAATTATACCGACGCTCTTTGGGTTTGGTGACTCAACGAATATTCGCACCGTGAAAACATTTTTACTAGGATTATTCTAGACTAGCTGTTCCCCGCGACTTCGCCCGCGTGGAATTTGTTACAATTGGATTTCATGGGTTTTATTTTTTTTGTTGCGTGGAACACTAATTCTTTCACTAAAACAAAAGTAGCCTAAGTTACCAGCTATCTGCCAGTGAAAATCCTGTCAAAATCGGTCCAGTCGTTTCGGAGATTAGCCGGAACAAATGGACAGACAGACAGAGAAAATTTTTAAATTTTTTTTTTTATTATAAGTACCGTAAATACTTTCATATGCATTTAGTAAAAAGCTGTTATTTTGACATTACAAACAGACACTTCAATTTTATTTATTTGTATGATATTATTATAAGTACCGCAAGTACTTTCACATGCATTTAATAAAAAGCTGTTATATTGACATTACAAACATACACTTCAATTTTATTTATTTGTATAGATTAAGAAGAATGCGTTTCAAATTAACAACCCATATTGCGAATTAAAATTTGAAGGAGTTCTTATTTTGAACAAAACACGTTACTTGAGCTCCGTAATTTAATTACATTATTACTACGTACGTTACGTTTTTAATTAAATTAAAACACATTTCGTATTTTTATTAAATTAATTATATAATACTTAATGTACGAAATTTCAAATGCACTCTTTGGCCTTATAAAATCATAATGACACAATAAATTAAAAGCATTACATACTCCATTCACATTTGAGTAAATCTATCCATCAATTACAGCCTATAAAAGTCCACTCATGAACATACGCCTCCCCCAAAAATTTCCTTTAGGGGAGATTTTGCCATAGTTGCCACGCTTGGTTGGCTGCAGTTTTTTTATAATTTTGCGTTGAAGATGCTGCTGCCCATCTACTGTTTCAGTTTCCCTCTGTCACCTCTTACGACACCCACGGGACAATATGGCATAGTGGATATTCTTACACCGACACTACTATAGGCAATTAATATCCTTCCATTATTCAAACTATTGTCATATTGAGAACAACAGTAATGACTGCAGAGTTTTAACCAAAATGTTCATTAATTAAAAAATTGTTAATTCAGTCAATGGTCATACGGACGATATAGCCGGGGGAGAGGTCACATTTTAAGTTAAAATTAAATTACAACCCCATGTTAAAAGATTTTTCCACGGACATATATTGTTATTGTTTAACAATTACTACAAATCAGAGTTTTCTTTCCAGAGCCGGTCGCAGAAGGCGGAACCCGTTAGCCCTATACACAGATGACGACGGACACGACCTGAGTGACTTAGGCATCGGCACCTCCAGCACGAAGAGCAGCCTCAGCGAGGACTGCGACACACACAGTCTCGCCGTAAGTATATAAACTGAAACAACATTTCCACGATTTCTTATATCTATGCGAATACTACACATCAAATGAAACCAATTACGGATTTTGTCGCTTTTAATTTTAACTTGATTTCCAGACATTTCGAGTGTTTTATTAGCATCTATGGTCACGGGACTGACACCTCATTCAACGTCCGAAAATAAAACGTTAAAATTAAACTCGATAAAATCGGTAAAATTAGTTTCGTTTAACTAACATTTTTTTATAATAATAATATGATATGATATTTAACCGAAGTGTACGGCGTTCCTCCACTAGATGGAGTGTTGTCCTGGTAAGAGATACAGGATACTGGCCTGGTAAGTCGATGGATGCAGGTGGCTCAGGGTGTGCTTTGTAGCATTCCTTAGGGTAAGCATAAGTTTATCAATGAACTTGTGAAGGGCTGTAATGATGATGATGATGATGATAATGAAATTTAAGTACTTTTGTTTCGCTTAAAATTAAACAGTTTCTAATTTTAGCATTAGATTCCGTAGTGAATAAAAATCAAATGGTTTTCAGCAACATGAACTTTATTTAGTTCGTTTTAATATTCTTAACTTTACAATAACTTACTAAGCTAATTCGTGCACTGATTACTAAAAGAAGTATTTACAACTACAATCAATGATCTGCAAATAATTTTCTTTTATTTTCAGAGTGATGGAATGGACCTCGACAAAAATCACTCAGATGTCGATAATATGTCTAATTGCGGTAACAATCGCAAGTTAGGCTCAAGTGCCAACGAATACGACACCTGCACGACCACAACAATCAGCTCGCCTGAGCCAGAAGAATACACATACGAAGGTGCAATAGAGGGTTATAAATCCAGGATAATTTCACAAACCAACAGTAACATTGTTAAGACAGTAGTCAACAATAATTTTAAAGACAAATCTCCAGAGAAATCCAATGGTGACATTAACAGAATTAGAACGTCTGTCAGCAACAAAATCGACGAAAAAGTTGCTTCCTTACAGCAGGAACGTACTATCGACATAAAAAATAATAACCAAAAGAAAGATTTGCCAAAAGTTGATATACACAAACGAAGGGAGCAATTTGAAAGAGAAAATTCACAAGAGTTGCAATTAACTAAACCAAAATTACCTGATATTGCTAGCAAAAAATCTATTAAGGATAGGTTGACAAGCTTAGAGAAGTTTACAGAAGAAATGCATGTACAAAAATCGACAAGTGACCAAACAAAATTTCCTACTGAAGTCAAGCCTTTGAAAGAACGATTATCGTCTTTAGAGAAGATAAAGTCTACTGAACCAGAAAAGTTTAAAAGGCTGTCTAATGGAGACCTTAGCAAAACAAAATCTCTAAAAGATCGATTATCTAGCCTTAAATCACAAACTTCAGAAGAAGAAGCAAAAGTAACAAATACAGAAGTCAAAGAAGTTTCTATGAGTCTTAAAGAACGACTTTCCTGCTTAGACGCTGCAAAGAATAGAGAAATTCCTAAAATATCAGTCGAAAAAGAAATTGTCAGTACTGAAAAATGTGAAAGTAAAGTTTGTGATAATACACAAGATAAAGAGTTAGATTGTTCCTTAAAATCAAGCTTGTCTGGTATAGAGAATCAAATGCAAAGCTTCTGTCGATCGCTTGATAGCTTGGATATTAATGGTCAGTCCTCACCGAATTCTTTTGAAAGGGTTCAAAGTTTGGAAGACTTTGATTGTGCTGAAATGCAAAACAATACGATTCCAAGTGACATTGAAACAGAGGACAGTGGTATACACACTGCTAGAGACTCTTGTGCACCACCGGATGATATTGCGGATTTGACTCAAGTAGCTTCTCCCATTGGAGAACCTATGGCTGAAGTTTCCGAATATGAGTCGTCGAACGAAGATAATATGATTGTTACAGAACCAGTCAAAATTGAAGAAGTATTTGATAGTAAAATACAGCCTGATCAAAATACTATCAGTGGCATAATAGTGGAAGAAGTAGAAGAACAAGATAGCAAAGCTGAGGATACAGACAGCGGAAGTAATTACGTTCAAGCAGTATCACAACAAGAAGAATTAAGTGTCACTGAAGACATAACAGAAATTCAAATAGACAAAGAAGATGAAGACACTCTTAAAAGTATGGACAATCAGGACTCCAGTGTAAGTTTAAATGATCCTGTGTCTTCTGCATCGGAGGGCGATACTGTGGTATTTCAGGGGAAGATGACTATTCAACTAAATTTGAATGAAATTTGCAACACTTTAAACACTAGTACAGGAAACAATCTTAATATTAATGAAACTAGCCCTACTAACGATTCTTCTAACTGCAAAAGCATGCCAATGGTAACTGTCTCTAACATTACAACTACTACTAACATTTCACCTAAGAATTCCATTAAAACGCTAAAATTATTTAACGATAGCCATAAATCGCTTCCTGATAATGTAGCTGATGTAACATCACCCATTCATCATAATAAAGATCACGTCAATGAAGGTAAACCTGTTACACCGATTCATTTATCTAATGAGTTTGACGCTGTCAAAACACAAAGTGAAAACAGCTTAAACAATCATGACACGAATTCAACGGTAAGTAGTTCACAAGATTCTAATCCTTTCTGGCAAAAACGAACCAAACGTTGCCTAGAACCTAACAGAAGGAAAACTATTTTGTTTATTAATAATAAAACTACTGTTAAAACGACTACCAATACATGTGTTACAAGTACCAAAAATAGTATTTAACTGAGTACTTTTGCATCAGATGCTTAACATGAGAATTTTCCTATTCTATTTCTCATTATTGCATTTTGCAAGTGATGTGAGAAATGACGATATAGGCTATAAGTTTTCTAGAATTTTTATGATCTCTTGATTATGTCTAAAATTTTCCAGTCTTCCGAACGTTAATCGCGTTTTATTAGGAAAACTCTTACGTTTAGATTCGCTCCAGTAATACTAATTTATTCGTGTACACCATGTAACAGTATATAATTTTTTCATTCGTAGTTGACGTCTAATTCACCATTTCACAATTTTAATTCGTTGTGCTAAAACAAATTAATCAAGAATCGTTATTTTCACCACATTCAAAAATAAACCATTTACTATTGTAGCGTAAATTACAGGGTGTTCAATGTAGCTCTTTATTACAAACGTATTAAAAATATCGTAAATTTTTAGATGTAGTCGCATTTTGCATCCATTAGAAATGTTCTCAACGTGATATTTGTAAATTCATATTATAGAAAATATATGTTGCACTGTTACGTTTGGGTTTTATTTATGTATTTGTTTACACTCCTGTCATTTAAATGTAGTCTAATATAAAAAGGAAATATTTAAGTCATAGAAGAGTCAGGTATATTGCTATTTTTTGAGTTACGATAAATATAATGTTATCTATGAGGCGCATATCTTAATCAAACAAGGCCGTGTCTTATGAATGTGACTTAGTAGGCTCAGGGTATCCGTTATAAACGCCCCTCGCAGCATTGTTCTCATAAATGTAATTATTTTCATATAAAGGTTTTCTCATTCGGATTTGTTACGTCAGCTTTTGGTGATGGGTTAATGCAAGGTAAGAAATATTTTGGGTGGAGATATTTGTTGTAACATTTCATTTTCGCTGCATTATGTGCTAATAAAATTGTCTTGTCGCTTGTGATTTCAGCATGCATTATTTCTTATTTTTACTTCTTGATTTACTGATTACTTTATTATATTTGTTTCTTTTTGTGTCAGTTTTTACTTTAAAAATTGCATTAATATAAATACAGTAAAATATTGTTTCTTTGAATTCGTTATTTATTAAAACTTAATATATTAAGTTCTTTTGTTTTAGCTTTGTTTTAATACATTATTGTTGTTCTGTTAAAAACTGTTCATAATTTTAATAGTGAATATAAAAATTCTTCAGGTTATCGATGCTCTTGAGCTAGCATTTAAAGAACTGGATTCCGAGGATAGCACAGCAGATAGCAGTAAAATGGAAGAAGAATTAAAGTTAGATGTTAATAAAAATGATCCGAAGGCTGCAGATAAAGCTTCCGCTTTACTGAACTTCGACATGGATAATAAAGTGTCAGTGACGCCACTGTATGAGAACATTGATATATTCTATCAAAATACGGTGGACGATGCCGGAGCTTTTCCACTTGATCTACCAACCAATGTTTTAGAGCCTCCTAAAGAGAAACCCCCTCCTCCGCCTACTGAAGAACCACCGGAAGATGAACTTCTTGGAAATGTAAGTATACATTCCAATGTTTTAGAAATGTATACTAAATTTAAGCATGAATGACTCGGGGCGTTTGTTCAACATATACTCCTGGTGAGTATCTAATTTTAAATAGAATAGAATAGAATAGAATATTTTTTTATTCAATATACATTACATGTGTAATTCTTATTGAAAGTCATTTTTTAATTTACCACTGGTTCGAAAAAAACCCTCTGTCCTGGGAAGAACCAGCAAGAAACCCAGCGGGACTTTTTTTAAAAAATAAATTTTACAATATAAATGATTACGAACTATTTACAAAATTTATTTTAGAAACTGCTTGGAAGCGACCACCTCATTCCCAGGGGTTATTATCAACCATGTATTCATTTATACTATAATAACCCTTTTTATAGTTTCAGCTTAATAAAACATTTAAACTTGGTAATAGAGAGAACCTGTACACTTTCCGGGACCTTGTTGTAATAGCGTATACGTTGCCCCAAGAATGAATTACTGACTCTGTGGAGTCGAGAAACTGGTATCACTAGCTTGTGTTTTTAAAGGATATACAATCAAATATCAGTTGGTAAAGTCTCTTTTATAAATAAAATATAATTAGAGTTTTCTACTTTTAGTAGTAACTTAAAACTTAAAAGGCTTTCCATTTTAAGATAAATTTTATTTTTTTTAGTTTTAAAAATATACATATAAGATGCTTATTTCACTATAAAAGCTCTAACATCTCTTATTAATTTAAAATTCATATACAATTTTAATAGATAGGCTTTTTATTCGAGTGTCAAACACCAAATTATCGTGGCGCACCGTGCTTCAAGCTTAGATTATTTGAGAGTAAATAATCTAAGACTTCAAGAGATATAACAAACTAGAATATCGTCTAAATAGTTATTGTTAAATCTTCATCTCCTATTTATCCAACCTTTGTGACGGATTTTTTTCTTTAAATGTATAGTAAACCATCGTTTAAGTGTAAACTGTTTAATTAGAAAAATATAAATTTAAATCGGTTCAGCCGTTTCCGAGAAATAACATACATAACGAAACATAAGTGAACATCTATCACACACGCACACGGAACAAGAACGCATATCTTAATATATAAAATTCTCGTGTCGTGGTGTTTGTTACCTAACTCCACCGAAACCGCTAAACCGATTTGTATGAAATTTTGTGTGCATGTCGGGTAGGTCTGATCATCGGCCAACAGCTATTTCTCAACCCCTTAATGATAAGGGTGACCTACCCCTAAATATTCTTTTTATTTTTTTTGACAATTTTTTTTTATTTTTATTTTATTATGATTTAGCATTGAAAAATACATAAAACTTCAAATTTTCGCCCTTCTACGATCAACTCCTGTTTTCTAAAACTAAAAAATATTTCTTAGAATTAATGTACATATATGGCAAAGCAACGTTTGCCGGGTCAGCTAATAGCTTATAAATATTTGTTTCGAATCTGCATGTTTGTTTGTGTGCAATTTACTCGTATGCACGTAAACGCCTCAACTATATAAGAGACACTATGTCCTTTTGCTGAATGTGGGGGTATGTAACTTTTTAATAAATGATCCAGCCAGACTCAAAAGAACTTGTTATTAAATACTTACCTACTGGAATTTTAAATGGCTGTAAAATATTTTCACTGTATGCGAAATAATAACTTTATTATTATTATCACTGCACTTATTTCTTTTGATATAAAAAATGTACAATAGATCTAAGTAAGGAGTGACGATTAAGGCAAATTCACTTTACAATGCCATCCCATGCCCAGCAATGACGTTTGAATGAAAAAGAAGACTTTACTGAAAATTTGCAATTGTGGCAGCATAATTTTTAACATATACGAAACTCGTCGTCGCTGCTGGTAATAAGAGTGGTTCTATTTTCACTCAAAAAGGCTAGGTATATCCATTCAGTGAGGAAACGCAATCAACATTCTACGCACTGTACTGCGAGGAATAGAACTATATAATAATTTAAGCTTTAAGCTTTAGATGTTTTTTTTTTATCATGTTAATAAATATAATATTTAAATGTTATGTACAAATTCCGACATATACGAAGTAAACAAACTTAAATGTCTATTCCAGGGTAATTTTAAACATACAAGCTCGGCCCGTCGGATCAAGAAGGAAATACGTAACAAACGCACTTCTTTCCTCGGTATCGAAGGACAAGTTGATGACAGCTATTTAGATGTAGATCTAAATTTAGCACCGCGTCCTGATATTACCTCCTTTCTTCAAGAAGAAACAAAAATCGAAAAATTACTGTATAAAAAGACTTTGTCTCATGATATGGATGCAAAGTTACGAGACAGTAGGGATTCTGGCGTTGATATTGATAGAGGACCGTCGGCAGAAGCTTGGTACAAAGGGCAATCCTCACCCGAAACATCTAATCCACACAGCAGACAAAATAGTGAGGTAAGCTACTATATATACATTTCTATGTAAATACAATATCACGAGGAAATATTAATATCAAGTCAAGTAGTCATAAACGAATTACAACGTTTCTTATAACTCTCGAGTAATTTTATCGGTTATTTAAATAAAATGACCCTTATACGTTTCTACATCTGTTCCATTACGATGAAACATTTGTGAGTTGTGCGAAGGCCCACTTATACCCCCATATTTTACCTCGTAAGGGGAATATTTGCCATAGTTGCCTTGTTTTGCTAGCGGGTTGACTAGCGTAGTTATTTTCTAGTTGTTATTAGGAACTGCTTTCCATCTCCTAGTTTGTTTCCCTCTGTTGCTACTTACGACACCCAAGAGACGATGTGGAATAGTGAATATTCTTACACTGTCACTACACGGTAAATTAAAATATGAATGAAAATTTTACGGTAGTTTCTATCAATATATTTTAACAATCCATTCTCCATTTTTTAAACAGCCTTATACTCAAGTAACGGTAACCTCTGATGAGGAAGAATCTACTAAGAAGAAAAACGAACAGCAGTTCACAGAGGATTTAACTTCGAAACTCACTACCTTGTCAAATTCACCCGAAAACGATCAAACCAAAATTGATAGTTTGGATAAAAAAATACAACAGCAGCAGGTGAGACCCAACTAGACTTAAAACTTTATCATTCCTCAATACACTTTATTAAGCTAAATAATCGTGCACCCTCTATGAAGACGGTAGTGTCACAAGATACACTTTTAGGTTCCATTATATTTAATGTATATGGAATAGCTAAATCGTATCAGCTGTCTTCAATTCGCTTCACCAGTGAAATAGTTAAAATTGGTGTCATTTGATTTCATTTATCTGTGTATAACAAACTGCTATTTAGATGAATAGTTAGAATTGTTTTTATTAGACACAATTTTTTTTTTAATATCAAATGTAATTATTTCATTAAAAATAATTAAGAGACTAGAGATGATTAAATTGTTACATATTTTGTAAATTTTAGCTATTACTTGCTCTTTCTCGATTTCTTCGTTTAATAATTATTATAATTAACTAACAATATATAATATAAGCTGCAGAGAAAATTTGTAAGAATAATATTTGTTATTAATAATCTGTATTTTCTTGTTAATCTTAGGTTTGAAACCCTATTTATTATTCTAAAACTGCAGTTATTTTCATTATGAGAAAAACCTATTGTAGACTTTTATTTGCATTATGTAAATAATCAAATTTCGGTGATGGGAATTCTTTCCACATCAGTCATTTTTTTTAAGGTTTGTGTAAAGCAATGATATCCAAATAGACTCCTGATCGTGATTAACATTCTCTATTTAAAAGAGAATGTTGTTAATGTCATTTCTCTTTACAAACCTGTTGATTTGGTTTTTGTGTAATTGTGCAGTAGTACATACGATTATTATAAATATGCTGCTATAATAACACAGCACCGCTTTCTAATGCCTAATAAATATTATCGTGTAAAATTGTGTTTTGTTAAGTTTAAATAATTCTCTTCTGAGGTTTTGTTTATTTATGTTATTGGAAAGTAGTTTTGGTTAGAGCTTATTATATTGTATATTTGATTTACCTTGCCCAATAAAAATTATTTATATCACAGTATCTTATTGCCTTTTATTTACTCCTGTTTTGCACATTTATTCATTGCGCACTTGGCATGGCTACGAAGCTTATCATTTAATTATCTTAATTAGTTTTAACACACTTATTAACCCTTATAAAATATGGCTACATACTTAAAATACATTTTCATAGTTTAAAAATCTATTTCTATTGACATTTATAAACGAAGCTTTCCAAATATCACAATGTGTTTTATATTTTTATTTGATTAACATATGCACTGTCATCATCTACCATTTTGTGTGTGTAAATAACATTAAACAACATGGCCGCCGTGGCGTAACTTTACAGGCGGTTCGCACTAACGAGGATTGGCCTGACGGGCACTTTGACGATGCTCATACGAAGGTGATTGACATGTTTTACACGTAACTTACAAGCTATTTCAAGGAAAACAAATATCGGTTTCCGTTTAAAAAGAAAGAAATATCAATAGAATTTAATAATTATTACTATAGACCAAAGACTTCTATGTAAGTACATACTAATACATAAGACCAACAATTCAGAACAAAAATTATGTCACAGCTGTGGATCGCGCGGGCGCCGGCTGGTTAGGTAGCTGGCACGGTAAATATGCCTCGTTCTCATTTACGACAGTTACTGTTTTCAGGCAAATAAGAAATAAACTTACATACTTATCTGAAATTAACATTCAAATCACGTTAACAAATTGCGCATATTCATAATGACAGCGTTTCTTTAGTCACATTAAACAAAATCAGTGTTAGATTGTCGAAAACAGCGTTCGCGGCTTACACAACAAAGTAATAAACTTGCCCGCTAGCAATCGTCTAAACGAACGGAGAGTTGACCGTAACTTTATGCGCAATGTATTAAGGCAGCAGAGTTTGTCCAGTAGTACACATGAAAGTCTTTGCTATATAGATCATCTGTTCAATATCAAACCGAAGTTTGTATTTCCTTATGCTCATCAAACATTAAATTACCACGCTAGCTTATCTTGCACCTAAGTCTGTTGCTACTAAACTACCTAACAAATTCACTGAGGTTTATATAAAGATAACATACTAATACAAACCTATCAATAGGAAGTACTGCGATTCGAAAGAGAGCTCCTACAGCTTGAACAAGAAGAGTTGAGGAGACAGAGAGAGAATCTGCTACGAGACCAGAATAGAATAATACAAAAGTCTGTACAAGACGTTTCGATTGTGACTCACACTGCGGAGAAGACTCCAACGAATAGGGTTAAAAAGACTAACCAAAATTACAGACATTCTATGCCAAATTTATTGATTAGTGAAAATCACACACCTATGCCGCCGAAAGTACCAGAACGGCCAGTTTTTGATGAGAATATGAAAAGGAAACCTTTCGTATCAGAAGAGCACATCCAAAGTCACTTTGGAGTTGAAGAGAGTAGAAAAGTCTTGTATGAAGATAAAGCCAAATTTCCCGAAAGAAGAGTCGTGCCAAATGTAATGAGGACTCCACAGCCAATCTTGCCACCGAAACCTAGGAGCAGAGAGTCCATAGAAAGGGAAATCACAATGAGGTTTGTAAATTACTTGTGTACATTATATATATTTCTTGACTGAAAAGCTCTAACCCTCGCTGAAGTCTTAATTGTGAGAGCCTATACACGTTCCACTGTTTTTTTTTTATAAAATTGAAGCCAATAAAACAAGCGAACCAACGGTCTATTTCACACCATGGACTGGAAGTATGAAGCTGGAATTACTCACAGCCTGGAATTACAAGTAGTAATTAGAGTAATAACACTCAATTTCTCAGATATACATCTTACATATATCATCAGATTTACATGTACACGTATGTATAATATATTATAGTTTTAGCACGAATGGGTCGGCTCATCCGAGGAAGGGCCACGCCCACAGAATACATGAATACGGCTTCGAGGCGCAGTGGCTTAGGAATAAGTTGCAGCGCCAAGGGCCGTGGGTTTGAATCCCGCTCGAAACAAGTATTTGTATGGCCTACATATAATTGTTCCGGGTCTGGATGTTTGTCCCTGTGAAATTTATGTATGTAAACTGCCCCCACGATACAGGAGAAAATCCTAGTGTGGAGTTTTTCTAAAAATGAAAAATAAAAATTCAAAGAGTGAAATAGCAGCCCAATGCAGATGTGTTTCGTATGGTTAATGTAAAGACCCGCAGACCTTTTTACCGTAAACGAGGCATTCCATCTTAGTCTTAGAGCCATATTCTATAAAGAAGCGGCGTTGCTAGTCACGAGTCAAATTCACCAGAGAAGTATCTCCATGGTCCTCACATAACTATTCTGTGAGTGGGTGTTGTCCGTGTGCAAATGATGTACGTAATAACGCCTTCACGATACGAGAGAAACACCTTGTGAAAAACTTTTAAAAAAAATGAAAGTTTTCTCTCAATGTTTCCCTTCACCGTCGAATCGACGGCCGACCACGGGGATCGAACTCAGTTTTTTGGCGAAGTATGAAATTTAGCGTCTGTTGACACAACTAAACTTTATTCTAACTATATAATATTTTGCTACAGAAGCAGCCGAGTGCCATCCGCAGTCGAGTATGTGAACGTAGATCGAACGCCGCTACAGTTGCGACAGAAGCACGTGGCCAACGGCAACGGACAGTACCACCCTATGACGCGTCATACGCTGCAGGTAAATTAGTACATACTTTAATAAGAACTAAAATTAAAAAAAAACCCGGAACAAAAAGAGCTGGTGATCTTCAAACGGCTGAACAGGTTTTCTTGAAATATAGCTGAGGACACTCTCGATTAAGACACAATTCAAACGAAAAAAACTTAACCAAAAACGGTTCATCCGTTCAGGAACTGGGATACCACAGACGTCTGCATACCACTGCACACGGATACACAGATACACACATACACACTACAAACATATAACAACACCCCTTTATTTTCATTGTAAAAAAAATCTTATTAAGATTTACAGTTGAAAAAAATTTATTTGCAATGAGTATGTATTTAATTACGGAATAACAATTTGGAAACTACACTTTCTTGTCATAATAAAAAACGCCTGCGACATAAAAATAGCAATTATGTTGCTTAGTTTCTTTTTCTTAATTACTGGAAATGAATAAACACAAAAATAACAAACAGAGGTATAACCATTCGAGGATGCTGAATTCAAAAATATACTTTTATATTGGTAGATCCACGCTGCAGCTATGGTTGTAGCAGGAATGGGTCGGCTCGACCGAGGTAGGACCACGCTCTCACAGATTACCAACGTAAAATAGCAGCTTAATGCTGTTGTGTTTCATATAGTGAGTGTAGAGAACCGGAGACCCTTTTTACTGGAAACAAGGCATTCCATCTTAGTCCTTAGGAGTGACAACGCATATGCACTTATCATCAGGTGGACTGTGTGCACCTGGTAAAGGGCAGCAGCTTCATCAGTTTGAGGGTTGTTATAGACTTTGCGGAAACCATATTTCTGGTGTTTCCCATAGTCTTCGAAATGTGGTGATGGGCTCTCTTACAACGCGAGAGTTAATGGTTCAGTCAGTGAAAAGACAGATAAGAAGGGAGGATGTTGGATTAATTCAGTTGACAGAGGTGGGGGGGGGGGGGGGGGATAGTCGAAGTTAACAAATAGAATTTATAATTTCATATAACTAATAGAATGATTGAATACAATTTGGCATAACATGACTTTCAGGCACTGAGCGCAGCCCCAACGCCAAAACTTATCTCCAATACGGACTGGATGCAGGCCCGTAGCAGGAAACCTGCCAACTACAACTATCACCAACACTGGCTTGTACAGGTAATTCATCCAAATAACTTTTTATTTTTATTTTACAGTAATAACCAAGTAAGTATTAAACAGGTGGTAAGTGGCTACAGCAGCCCATGAACACCTGCAACCATTAAAAAGGCCTTATACGTGATCCCTTACGACTACGAAAAATTGCCTCACAGTCTGTTACTAAACTGTTACTTTTACTTTTAAAACTGAAACACAACAGCGGGTACAATAGTGCTTGGTGGCAGAAATGAGCAAGAGGGTGGGTAGAAAACCTCTATGCCTACCTTTTTAAGAGTTGATTTTGAAGAAACCTGGCTTGACTTTGAACCCTTACGATTTACTAAAGAGAGGTAAAATATCTTATGTAAGACAATTTATATTTTAACGTGGTAGGAGTTACGCCGCAACAATTTTATGTTTGCAGCACGGATGAATCGGCCCAACTGGGTAAGGACTACGCTCTAACAAAACACAAGCCTAAAATAGCAGCTTAATACTGCTGTGTTTCGTATGGTGAGCGTAGAGAACCTGAGACTACTGGCATTCTATCTTTTTTCACCAGGGTCGACAACGCTTGTGTCTACATTTGATTCTTAATTGATGATAGATATTAAACCTGTTATTTGGGGTCCTGTAAATAATAAAATCAAATTCAAACCCAAGTATAACCACTACAAGACTTCAAGATACGGTTAGCTCATTTGGCGAAGTAAGGACTAAAATTAATAATTAGAAACTGAGGGTACTTCCCGATTAACTAATGACATTGGAATGTCAAACACCTTCACTTAAAAACATTCGCTTAAAACGCCGAGAGTTAAAAATAAGTTAAATTAAACGCGACAAAATCCGTAAAAGTAGTTTTATTCACAACAATACTAATATTGCAAATTATTGATATAAAATAAATGTTTAATTATTCCAGGAAGCAGAACACCGTCGGATAGAGGAGCAGAGGAACAAAATGTGCGTCAACCAAAGGCATTCATACCACGACGCACCCCCAAACCTACATCAGATGCATCAAATTAGTGCCAGGTAACACCAGCTTTATTCTGTGATGTTAGTACTGTTAGCCTATTTGGCTTTTACAACTTCATCTGATACAGGGCTCGCGGCCCAGAGGCCGCAAGGTGATAGCCTTTCTTGCATCATCATAAAGATGATTACAGACTGTCTCGCCACGACTGGTACTCATGTGCTCTAGTGTCTGAATTATAAATTTGAAAATGAATAAATCAATTTCAACCGTATCTCTAAAAGAATAAGGGCTTCATAAAACTCAACGTAAATGTGGGTTATTAATCTTACGCTCACAAGATGTCGCTAGTTTGGACTGAAGTTAACTTAATGTAACACGCAGATGGTCAGTTAGTGTCATCGTCGTTGAAAAGTTGCACTTAAAATAAGAGCTTTTCGGTTTCTAGTGTATACATAAAGCCGCGTATTAATTACGCGCTCCAAGAGGCGTTTAGGTTAGAGGCAAGAACATTGGCGCGCACTCCAGCCGCGCGAAATGGATAGCGCCTTGGAGCGCGCGCCAAATTGTTCGTTGGAGCGCTCGAATGTGGAGCGGGCCACTCCACCTGGTGTCGGTTTTTTACCGCGCATCAAAGTAGTTTAAGTTTTGGCGCGCGCGCCAGTTGGGACAGCTGCTCGTACACGACCGACATCCACGTTGAACGGTCAGACACTGGAGCGGCTGCCGCTTAGTTGATACACTTGGAACATTTGGAGTGCGTTCCGAGGAGCTACTTTTAGGAATATCCGTAGAGTAGTTTATCCATTTCTAATCTAACTATTATTTCAGAAAGTAACATTACTCTCTAGAATTTTCTAACAAATTAACTTCTCCTGCAATCTGTCAATATTTCACCTCATTTTTAAGTGGCAGAAAAAATTGTGGATTTAAGAAGCCCTCATTTGAAAAATGCTTAAAGTAGCTCACTCTTTTCACTAAATGACAATAAAAGAGACAGATATACAGATAATTAATACTTAAGTAAGCTCTAATCAACGATTATAAGTAAGGTCGTAAGTGTCTAAATAGTACAACATTCATCCTAGGTTATTTTTTAAATATTTTCATACTTTATAGGCCGCCAGTTCCAGAAAAAAAAATTAAAAGTCTGTACGGCAAAGAAGATATTTCGGCAAAAAGAGAGCGTGAGCATATTAACCTAATTATGTAGAAGCCGTGTCTCATTTATGCTCGTTATCATTTAGGCCTCTTCCGTACTGCAAAAACACATAACATTGTAGATATACATTTAATTAATATCAGTATATATTATCGTACCGAGTAGTGATGGTGTAAGGATATCCACTGCTATTACTACTATCCATATCATCTCGTGGTTGTCGTAAGAGGCGATAGAGGGGAACTGATACAAAAAAGTGCAGCAGTTCCTAATAATAATCAAAAATTAAATGCGGTCACCGACCCGTTATTATAACCCCGCAAGGTTAGGTGTCCTAGCAAGGGCGCGGTGGTAATTTACGCTGGACCAGCTTCTTACCCTATATAAATCACAAGTCCGGTTGTGAATGGAGTGCTGCTGTCTATGTGACTGCTGCTGTAAACTGCCATCTAGCAGCGTTGAGAGAGACGTGCTTAGGGGCTTATTGGTGAATTTGAAATCAATCTTGTCAGCCTCGAGCACAGGTGCACAGTATAGTAGCTAGCCTCTGTGTATTCTATTGAATGTTTTGATCTTGTCAATATTTTATGCACTCGATCTAAAAGGTTTGCTTCGTCTTTCGTAATGCTTACAGCAAAAGAGTGGAATAATTTGCCGGCGTCTGTCTTTCCGTTTGGGTTACAATCTGGGTCTGCAAGGCAAGAGTGAATAGGTTATTGTTAAGCTAAGTTAACAGTAAGATTTACCATTTAGGGCTTCATCACCACTTATCACCAGGGTGGATAGTCATCAAGCACTAGCATAAAAAAAGTAAAAAAAATATCTCTGGCACTATTTTACACCTGTGCTTATTTCCTAAATAAATTATTAGCACTTAAGGCCGGAGCACAACAAATACGTGAGCAGCACGACAGTATGACCATACGTTTTTTTAAATTTATTTATTTGATAATAATTTGACAATATTTAAATTGATATTTTACGGCATAAACATAAGCTATACAGCTTTACCGTATACCGATGCCATCAACAAACATATCATAATAATTGTTATTCGTAATAATTATGTCATACATCATAATGATGCATGCATTGAACCGCGCTCCCCGTACAGTCAAGAAATCGGTTTGCTCTCGGGTCTTAGTGCATCCTTTGTCTACCTGGCTTGACGCGTCGAGTCGCATATACAGGCTGTTCATATACTTTGATACTAATTAATGATATTAAAGATAAACTTATTTTATATTATTGATAGAGTTGTAGAATATTAATGTGTAACTTATAATACAAATTTTTTATTTTATTTTACAACGTTGTAGCAACAGTTGATATATATTAAACTGTACAGAAGTCTAGTTTCCGAATTTCCGAGAAATATCTTTGGAGTACACCGACCGCCATTAGTTGATAGTGATTGAGATTTCTTCGAACCTGAACCACAGAATAAATAATAGTACTACGTACATCGACGTTTTAATAGCCTATATAGTTATTATTAATCAGATAAATCGCGCACGCAAGCTAAATAAAACTTTATTGCTGCGCGCGAGTGTCCGTATTACTTTGCATCGTTGCTTCTTCCTACGTCACAGCGGAATTTCCTTGGTTACTAATGGCTGTTAATAAAGAGTAAAAAAATACATTGTGAAATTGTAAGTAAGTTCCTTAGGTAAAGTACCTATTCTGATAATATTTTTAAATTACATTAAATTTTTTCAATTAATTTATCCTACAATTAAATATACTAAACGCTAAACAAAAACTATTTCGACGAGTATTTCGACAATTATTTACAAAAACTATTTACGTAAACAGCGTTAATAAAAACTTTTAACTTTCAATGGCCTAGAATGCGCTAGCCCCGACTGCGTTCTGCCCCGGGGGCGCCTTGCGATTGTAGGTAATTATTTCACGCAGGTAGCAAGAGTGACAAAGGCCTGCCTCATCTATGTCCAGGGCCAAAGAAGCCTGTAAGTTCGATCGTTAATGGAGTACTACCGTCACATATGCTATTGATGTAAAATGCCACCTAGCAACTTTGGACTCGGTAGAGAGACGTGCTAAGAGGAATCTTGTGAGTCTCTAGCAAAGACACAGAGAAGTCATCCATCCCGCTATTATAACCTAAAAAGTCCATTGCAGAACATAGGCCTCTCCCATAGATTGCCTCATAGAGAGGATTAGTTTCCAACTATGAGGCGACAGAGTCTCTTACGACCCCCACGGGACGATATTGGGTAGTGGATGTTCTTAAACAGCCACTACACGGTTGACACGGCAGAATATCTCTCGGCATTCTATAGGTGTTCAAGGCGAAAGTAAATATGTATTAGTTAAGCAGAGGCAAAAAAAGAAAATTGTACTGCGTTCCGGGACACGCCTGTAAACGTATGCTGTTTGACGCCTACCAAGAAGTTTAATAATTTGCTGACGCAACGTATACGTGCTACACATGTCTCGCAGAGTAGTAGTGTAGAAGTTAGTAGAGTGGTAGTTTTATACGTGGTAGCGTCACGCTGCAGCTATATTATGGTTGTAACACGAATAGGTCGGCTCGACTGGGGAAGAACCACGCTTTCACAGAATACCAGCAAAATAGCAGCTTAAAGCTGCTGTGTTTTGTATGATGAGTGTAGAGAACCGGATACCCCTTTTTACTGAAAACGGACATTCCATTTTAGTCCCCAGGGGTGACAACGAATCTGCATTTTGATTCTTAACTGAGGATAAATGTAGATGTTTATGGGCCACGGCATCCAGTTACCATCAGTTGGACTGTGTGCTCGTTTGTCACCTCTATTCTATAAAAAAATGCGCACTCATTTGGTGTGCTCCAGCCTTAATCTCTAAAATATCTGCAAGTATTCTAGGCTACCATAGTGATACTTCACACACATTGGCTAGCTGTTGTCAGCGTCCTAGACTTGATTGTAATTTTAACATAAAGGTTTCATTGTTTATCGCTGCTTTACGCTTTTATTTGTTTAATTAAAAAAAAATCCTAAATATTACAACACCAAATTACTTTAACATTAACAGTGCTACTGCAATAATAGTTTCGTTAACTTTTACCTTTATTAATAATTATATTAATAAATTCAGCCAACAACAGTTGCCGCAAGACTACAAGCGTCCCGTGCGAGATGCGACACGGACAGACGGGCGAGAAGACAAGCAAGTGCTGAGTGTCAGTGGCAAGAGAAAGTGCTCGCATTGTGGCGAGGAATTAGGTGAGGAATGGTTATTTCTTTCCTTATTATAAAGTTATTTTTCAATACTAGCTTCAAAATCATTAATTATGCCATCTTCGCGGTGTAAACTAAAACATTGCGAATGTTTTTCAATGAGTAATTTATTGCGTTATTTCGAAACAATATGTTGATATAATTTACATTTTTAACAGTAGGTCGCTACTTAGTGCAATATAACTTGTTGGCCTTCCGAGCCGGATGTTTCATGAGAAGCAAAATAATCTGGAAAAACACCAAGCAAATTGACTTTGGACTTTGAAGTCTTTAAAAAAATCTGTTAACTGATCCATTTTATTAGTTCGGCTGTGGATTTGAAAACTGTATGAAGACGATAAAAAGTTTTTGTGTGCATTTATTTCAGTTGAAATATGGGATAAGATGAAGTGATTGTTTTTGCCGATTTTCTTATTGTCCATTTAGATGTACGGTAATTTTTTTATAGGATAAGGTAACATACGAGCACACAGTCTACCTGATGGTAAGTGGTTGCTGTGGCCCATAGACATCTACATTAATCAAAATGCAGATGCGTTTTCACCCATGAGAACTAAAATGGAATGCCTCGTTTCCAGTAAAAAGGGTCTCCGGTTCTCTACACTCACCATACGAAACACAGCAGCGTTAAGCTGCTATTTGACGCTGGTATTCTCTGAGAGCGTGGTCCTTCCCCGGGCGAGCCGACCCATTCGTGTTACAACTATACTACTGCTATAGCTGCAGCATGGCTCTACCACGTTTAAAATTATATGATAGTATTGCGAGCTCGCTTAGCCCGATATGAAATGCCCTAATCGGTGACGAGCAGCAGCAGAGGTAGTCTTGTCTGGTCCTGCGATTGTCATTTTTTTTCTTTTATTTTTACATCCTTCCTACAACGGAAGAGGCTCATGTCTAGTGGTGGATTTTACGGTTATTAAAGAAAGCGCTATGTTATATATATTTAATTTTCGTTTTTTTTATAAGTTTAAGTGCTTTTTGTACGTCAGTATCCGGTTGTTCGTGAGTTAATTACGGTTCCAATTGAAAAATAGGGTACCCCACAGATTATCATCAATGCGGGATCTTGTTTGACATCACTTAATCGCATTATTACCCTTATGTTCCTTAATGTTGTGTTGGTCCAATTAATGTGGAAGTAATAATGACTTTCTTGTGGAATCGACTACCGCAAGCTATTTTATCCGGACTGATATGACTTAGGGACCTTCAAGAAAAGAGCCTACTTTTTTTGTAGAAGGCATTGAGTTATATGTACGACGTACTAGAGAAGCTATTCCAAACAAAAATTATGCGCTACTCTATGTCTTCGCGCATGCGCAAAAACTTAAATTTAATATAAAATAAGATATTAATATAAAATAAATATAAGAATTTAATATAAAATACTCTTATTATAATCTAAATAAACATATTTCTAAATAAAATGTAATAATAATTATCTTATGGAATTCACAAATCTTCAATTTATGCAATATTTAGTTTAGTGTACGGATTGCACTTCAGTTCAGTTGAACATTGTCAATGTCCGGAATGCGAAATCTACTGCGTAGTACATATACATCGATAGTAGAAGATCGCTAACGCACCTGTAATTTTCCCCTGTGTTGCAGTTGATCGTATGCTCGTTTGCTTCCTGTTATATAAAATAATTATTTTTCTATATTACGTGGTATATTTTTTATAGGAGAGGGGCAAATGAGCATGCGGCTCACCTAATGGTAAGTGATTACCGCCGCCCATGAACAACTGCAACACCAGAGGAATTGCAGATGCGTTGCCGGCCTTTTAAAATGGAGTAGGCTCTTTCTTGAAGGTCAGTGATATTTCATCAAGGAAAAATCACTGGTGTTAATCGATTCCACAAGGAAGTTATGCGAGGAAGAAAAGTTCTAAATCGCACAGTGGTAAACCGCCATTCATTCAGATGGTGTGGATGGTATATCGCGAGTTTTGTTGCGATGTGTGATGGTGAAATTGAACGGCTAAAATTAGTCCGAACAATACCTCAAACCACTCCCTGTGATAGATGCGATAAAATACGCAAAGAGATGCAACATCTCCACGGTGTGCCAGTGAGTCAAGTCGATCGGAAAGATTCGTCGTCGACGATTCGAACCGCTCTGTGTTTGATGCGGTCAAGTGGAATTACTGGAGAGCCCCTGCCCAGAGATAGGAACAGTATTCCATGTGAAGCCGAACTTGCGCCTTGTAAAATTGCAAGCGATGTGCCGGCATGAAATACTGTCCCGCTCTGCTGAGCACGCCAAGCTTTTTAGAGGCCAATTTGGAATTCTCTTCCAAGTGACCACGAAACTGCACGTCACTCCGTATGTCGACACCCAGGATTCCGATACTGGCTGAGGCAACAAGTGTGTGTGCCTTGAAACTGAGGAGATACGACAAAGGGGTTCTTTTTAGCGGCTAACGCTCAAACTTGTGTATTCTGGGGATTGAACTGGACTATATTTAGTCGCCCACAATTTGAGACTTTGTTTTTGACGTTTTCCCGAGAAATATTGGCACGGCCGGTGTATAAAGCATCACCAGTGCTGTCGTCTGCATAGCAATAAATGTTACTGGTTTGCAACATATCATTGATATGCAGAAGAAACAGCGTTGGTGGTAGCACGCAGCCTTGTGAAACACCAGCGTTAATGGGCTTGTAATCGGAGCATGCACCGTCTACTACGACGTTGGTGCTCCGATCTGCAAGAAAACCAGTGGTCGGGAAGCCCATAGGAAGGCAGCTTCGAAAGAAGCGCTTTGTGCCAAACCCGATCGAAGGCCTTCGGTATGTCCAAAGTAACGACCAACGCCTTCCCCTTGGACTCCACTGCCTCCGCCCATCTATGAGTTAGGTAACCTAGAAGATGAGCGACCTCGACGAAAACTGTACTGGCGGTCACTAATCAGCTGGTGATCCTCAAGGTACCGCATGAGCTGGCGGTTAATAATGGTTTCCATTACTTTGGAGAATACGTAGGTGATAGCGATAGGCCTGTAGTTGGATGGATCTCAGCGGTCGCCTTTCTTCGGGATCGGGTGCACCAAACCTGTCTTCCATGAGTTCGGCATTACGTCTAGGGAGTAGGATTACCGGAAAAGACGCGTTAAAACCGGTGCCAACTCCAGAGCACACGTCTTCAGCGCAATAGTTGGGACTCCAGCAGGCCCACTCGACATGTTGACATCCAGGGAGAGGAGTGCTTTACGCACCGAGCGCTGTGTAAACAGAACTTCCTGAATGGAGCACTCACACCGCGGGACAGTCAGCGGTGTATTCCCCCCGTCATCTAGAGTCAAGTTGGAAGCAAAAAGAAAGCCTAGCAGATCAGTTTTCTCCTTTGCGTCATGGGCCAGTGAGTTGTACCCCTGAGACAGCAGAGATGACTGACAGAAGTTCCCTTGGACAGCCTTGGCGAGGGACCTGAATGCACGTGTTCTCGAAAGGAGGCGAACTAGTTTCTCGCCATTTCTGCTGATGCCTTGGCAATGACTCTTTGGAAGGACCTGGAGGCGGAATTATACTTCTTTTTAAAAACGCTGTTGTTTACATCCCGAGACGTTGATGCGTCAGCCCAGGCCCGGTAGCACTCCTGATTATAGCGTGATGCAATTTTACAGGAGCGATCAAACCATGGTTGGGATCTGCCTCCGATGGGCACCACAGAGGATGGAATAAAAAGTTCCATACCCTGAAGTACCACATCAGCAACAGAATCAGAAACAATGCTGGGATCTCCCGGCGAGAAGCAAACCTGCCCCTAAGGGTAGGGTGCAAAAAAAGACCACATATCGTCCCAATCAGCCAACCTATAGTGCTAAACACGGCAGCAAGCTGCAGATCGCAATTGGGATGGGAGTGTGAGTAGGGAGGCACCGTACTTCGGATCAGACAATGGTCCGAAGAGCCAATATCTGAGCGGATACCTGATATCCGTCCGGATGAGAGGTCAGCAGAAGGTCCAATAGGGAATGTACATGATCCTTTACATTTGGGACCCGTGTAGGCGAACTAATCAGTTGTGTCCATGAAGCTAATACAAAGGGGAGACGGCATAAGCAACTGTGATTCTAAGTAGGTCCTGACGTCATCATAGTGGGCGTGGCTTTAGTTAGTATACTGTCAGCATTCGTCCTGTGCGCTTGTGTTGAAAAAATCGCAAATCGGTGTATTTTCGTAGTATTAAGAAGAAAAGGATGAAGTATTGTGTTTTATTGTGTAAAAACTACTCTGATGTTATGGATGGCATCACATTTCATTTGTAAATATTTTTACACCTAATTTATTAAAATAGTTCTAGAAAAATCTCTTTGCGTCGGCTTTCAAATATAATTAAATATATTCGACACTAGATGGCGACACATTGTGTCATGTGAACTAAAAATATAAAGGTCCGTAGAGCTCAGTATTGGTAAAATAGTCATACGAAGGTGCTGAAATTTGTTTTGCATTCAGACATAAAGAAATTTTGGATTTTTATAATCATTTTGAGAACAGGCCGTATTCTCGTTAAGTAAACCTCATAAAAATGACAAAAAGACAGGGCCTAATTAGAATTCAATTATTTTTCCCAGTAATCCAACTTTTAATATTAAATGCAGGAAATTGTACTTAGGCTGATTTTTACGAAATGTTTACGTTATATTTAAGTGACATTCTATATGCAAAGAATCACTTAAATACAAATTAATGTTCTTAGATTGGCATTCAAAAAGTGCATTCAGATGCCTAATTTGGAATAAAATATTTATATTTTAATTGATTTGTAAATAAAATTATATTAATTATAATAATTTGTCTATTATTTGTTCTCCCTCAAGAGATATTAAGTAGTATAACCCACACATAAATAATAGTCCAGCCGTTTCTGCGTGAAAAAATTACGCATACTTAGTGTGGAATAAGCTCAAGGAGACATAAAGAACACACAAAATTTAGCCTTTATAATATTAGTGAGATAAGTAGGATATTTAGTTCTAAATTAAATATCCTACTTAATATTGAACATAGAATATTTAGTTTCAAAGAGACTTTATTTTATGGATAAAATAAATATTTCTTGAAGGTTGACTTTCACGAAATGATAAACATATTTAAATTGTATTTAAGTGATTCTTTGCATATAGAATGTCACTTAAATATAACTTAAACATTTCGTAAAAATCAGCCAAGTACAATTTCCTTCATTTTAATATTGAATGTTGGGTTACTGGGTAAAATAATTGAATTCTAATTGCGGCCCTGTCTTTTTGTTATTTTTTATGAGGATTACTTGACGATAGATGGCGGCCTGTTCCCAAAATTATTATGAAAACTATAAAAATATTATTTTGGCGATTAAAATTTCTTTGTCTGAATGTATTTGCTTCATGAGATAGACGCTCCGATGCTATGGATGGCATCACATTTCATTTGTAAGTAATTTTACACCTAATTTATTAAAATAGTTCTAGAAAAATCTCTTTGCGTCGGCTTTCAAATAAAATTAAATATATTCCACACTAGATGGCGACACTTTGTGTTATGTGAACTAAAAATATAAAGGTACGTAGAGCTCAGTAATGATAAAATAATCATACGAAGGTGCTGAAATTTGTTATGCATTCAGACAAAGAAATTTTAATCGCCAAAATATTATTTTTATAGTTTATAACATTTTGTGGACATGCCGCCATCTACCGTCAAGGTAGCTAAGCTGCATTGCAACATCGATATGGAAAGATTCGAGTAGTTTTACTATTTATCAGTAGATGTAGATAGTCTAGTGGGCGGGGCTTTGCAACCCCTCACGCCGCAAATTGTCACGCGTTGTTACATAGTGAAATTTAATTACAACGTCTCCTCTTTGTATTTGCTTCATGGTTGTGTCAGACCATATGCTAAGGCAAAGTGATAAACAGTGTTACGGCCTACGGCTGCTCCCACAAAGGTTTAATCCTCCGGGGCCCATCAGCGGAGTTTCAACGAACAGACGTAGGTCGGGCCTCAATATGGCCGCGTGGAATTTCCTATCACAATAAACTATATGGGAGAAAGCTAGAAACACATAGTACTTACCATTATCCGAAGCTAACTTCGCACCAAGGCTTGGGCAGGCCGTGAGTGTGTGTAATAGTGGATGGCGAGTAGTGTACAGTGAGGTGTAAATGTCTGCGACCTGAGCAAGCTTAGGCGACCAGCAGCGGCCGAGTTCCAGGCTGCCCCAAAATGCTGCATCGCTGCAGCAGGCTTCAGCGCCGGACCACTTCTTTCTTCACTGTCACTACTCAGTCTCTCAGCTTCATCGTACATTTAACTAACTTCAATTCGCCTAATTCCACACTCATAGAATCGAACATCCGATCCGTGATATCCGACACGGCAAGGACAGTAGCACAAAAATCGACATTGAATGTCCCGGATTCTCTTATCACTAATTATAAATTCGGCACGAGAATAACACGAGTCAAAATACGCCTTGTTGACACGTAAATTAATCTAACTAGGCAATCAAAACACAAAAGGGGCACTAAACGCGCCGACACAATTATAATGATATCTTGACAATTAACCGGGAGAAGCTCTCAACTAGGAATGCGCGGCTCGAATCTTAGACCGTATATCTACTAGACGCGCGTACACTATTCCGCACTCTCGCCCGAGTTAAATATCGCACAATTCACATATCTACGTGACGAAGAAGCACGTACTTCATCTAGCTATCTAGATCCACGACGGGTCTTGAATTTCGCTAAGAGAGCCGCACGGGTTCCCTGCATCGTGTCTGGCGGGCACCGACGTTTTGCCCACGCGTCGAGCGACTGCCCACGCGTCGAGCTCGGTCGCCCCACCTCGGCGCTTATCTCACCTACATACCATCGGGTGAGGCGCCAGCTTGAACGCAATTGGTTGGCGTTAAACATGACCAAATTTGGGCATAAATAAACAGATTTACCCGCATGATCGGTTAAACGGGAACCAAGCCATTCAGCGTGATGGGCGTTAAAATCACCGAGCACCACGATCTGCTGTAGCTCGGAGTCTGCAGCCAATTAGACGTGGTCGATGAGCCGGTCTGTGTCGTCATTACCGCTATGGGATCTATAGAGGCACCCGTAGACACGGGAATGATCGTCGCTGTCTACGCGCAGGCATAGGATGGACAGGTCCGTACCTTTGAGACTGCCGAGGCGTCGAAAACAGATGTCCTCTCTGACGTACACGCAAACTCCAGCCCGGGGCATAAAAGGAGTGTTCTAATTTTTACCCCGGGTAGGAAAGGTACTAAATATTAGCCGGAGAGGATACCTTTCTCGGTTAGAAAGAGCAAGGCCAGCTTTGCCGTCTCCAGGGGATAGTGGATGGCGTTAAGGTTGGAATGAAGTCCTCTGATATGGCAGAAATCCACGGAAACGTGGCAGGGGTTGCTTTTGTCTTATTGTTCCGCTTGCCCCGAGCAGGTTCGTCTTGAGCGTGATTTCCTCTTCTCCCCCTCCCCCCCCCCCCCTCAGAATACACGGGGTAGCGTGATCACCCACGCTCAGGAAAAGTAGGGTAGCATGGGCGTGGAAGTTCAGCGAGGGATTCACTAGGGATGCTGGTACCCTCCTGGGGTAGTCTTCCATTTAATTCCGCTACCATGTTGATGGATAGGGGGGGAGGAATTGGGCCTACGGCCACTTGCACTCACCAGGCGCAATGCAAAATAAACTTTTACTTCACGTTGGTATTCTGTGAGGTCGTGGTACCACCTCGGTTCGAGCCTGGCCATCCGTGCGACAGCAAAAGCTGCCGCGTGGCTTTACCAATGTTAGAAGTAATATTATGGTGGTATGTGTGTGCAGGTCGCGGCGCCGCGATGATCATCGAGTCGCTGGCGCTGTGCTACCACGTGTGGTGCTTCTGCTGCGCGGTGTGCGGCGCGCGCCTGGGCGACGGCCGCGCCGGCGCCGACGTGCGCGTGCGCGCCGCCCGCCTGCACTGCCACCACTGCTACTCCGCGGACGACGGCTCTAAGTACTCCTGCGTCTAGCTGTAACGAATAATCACCGGCTGTAAGGCGTTCCATTGTCATGATCAAGAGTAACAATGGCAACTCATAAGTGACTTTCTTCGTTCGAAATCGGTAGATTTCTGTGGACTGCGGTAGTCACTTACCATCAGGTATATTGTTAGCCCGTTTGTCAATTGATATCTCATAAAAAAATAAGAACACTACCAATGTGAATCCGCAGACGATAGTACTCCTGCGTAGAGACTATTGTCACCTCTAGAAAATATAACTACCCCACAAGCAATTATTCCCACGTAAAGCAAACTACCACAACTGTTACTCGTTTTTTTTAATTAACATAAACAATAAAACCAATATGTTATCGTAATGGCATAATAGTTTATAATTACATTTATCAAGACTTATTAAAAAATAAATAATCATTAATACATATGATTTGTTTGTATAATGACTTAAAACTTCTTCAAACTTACAATTGTTTATGTTCATTGTGTTAAAAATCACTTATAATTTTGTATAGTTTTATTATTTTTGAGTTATAGAAGTATAACAATATTATTTATAATTTAGTCTTACACTGACAAATAATTTCTTATATTGATTTTGGAAGCTTTTCTAGTGAAATTTATTATGAATTGCTTCGTATTGTATATAAATAAATAAATAAAGCTTGTTTTTATAACATTCTGTATATGTAACATTTTATAAAAGTAACCAAAGTATGTACCGGAGACGTTTAAAAGTTACGATAGTGAAATGGATTTGTGATCTTGGTCCACTGACGTAGCGCGATAGTTCTCTACCGCTCTGTCTGTCAGTTTGTATGTCACCAAAACGTCTGTGCGACTCAGCGAGTCTGAGTCCATTAATGCACGCTTTTGTTTCTGAAATACGATCGCAAATTCTCCTCCGTCAAACATTGAATTAATATGTACTATATACTAGAAAAGACGCCGAGACTAGGAATTTTGCAACACGCAGTAAAGCCCATAGACTCTAACTTAGTCAATGCTATAAATTGGTACTCTTCGCCTTCTTCCACGCGCCCCGCACTGCCGCACAGATTTTGTTCGCGGTTTCGCTTCTAGTACGTAGTACGTATTAGTTCAATGTTGTCAAATATATTTATACTAAGTTTTTATTCTTCTGTAATATTTTCACTAATTTTTCGTATATCGTGCCATGCCGTAGTTCCCTTGTTAATGCAATAAACTTTACGGATTCTACAGTAATTTAATGATTAACAATTTCATTATTATTTTGGAATTTAACAATGTAATTTTCCGTCGCGTTATTCGATAATTTAGTGCGACTTGGATTTTTGTATAATTTTGTAAATAATTTCTAATTTATGCTGTAGCGTGTGTTATTTTAGCTTTAATAGTTAGTACATTAGGTTAATTGGTGGAAAATTTATCCAAATATTTTATGTTGGTTATTATTGTATAGATATTTTGTATAACATCGTTCTAACATGGTATTTTTGTACTGGTGTTCTCAAATAATAATATTGTAACGTTAACGATCTTATTGTTTGATGCACATTATATCGACTTTGTAATTATGTTAATTTTGAACAACTTGTACATTGTTTATGGTATCAAATAAATAAATATTACAAATGCACGTTTCCATTTATTTTTAATAAATAAGTTCCTTGAAAATGTTGCCATTTTAGTCCAGTTTTCTTTTCAATTGGAGTTGTCTGCTACAATTGCGTTTTCGTACAAAAACAATAGAGAGCCAAGATAAATACTAAAAGTTAATTTCTTTCTCAAATCATATATTTTTCTTGCTTGGCAAATATGACAAATATTTAAGTATAAAAATCGAAATTACGAGCTGCTCCCGCCGTAACTTTTTAATATTTCCCAGTAATTATCTCAAAAATCTTGTTTCTTTTTTAATTATACACAAAGACAATAAAAGATTTACCTATTTTATACAGTCGACTCTCGATAATTTGAATATCTCGATAATTTTCCCGGTCCCTTGAAAAATACTCGATAAATTGAATGAAATCAATATTAATTGGTCCCCTCGGTACTTTGAAGTTAGAAGAAATAGCCCGCTAGCATGCAATAATTTGAAGTCTGGGCTTCCCTACTCTCGATAATTTGAAGCATTTATCATACACAGACCTTTCGTTTGTTTACATACTTATACTCGTATATATAACTTACGTATCGGGCAGCTTAGAGAGGGTTGAAGTGGAAGGAGACGAAGACTTGCTATATTACTTTTATTTTCTAACTTACAAGTTAACTACTGTGACAATGTGAGTACACAGCAATACTGGAATATAATAACTGAATAATAATTGAATACTACTAATGTTGAATATTCTTAGTCACGTAAAAGACGTGATTTGCTTAGCAGGCGGTGTTGTATGGTAGGTGACTTCCTAGTGCCATGTAAGATATCGGTAGACATATGGGACTTACATGTACATACCTATTCTCGATTGTTTACATAAATGAGAGAGACTTATTTTCAAAATGAACATTTGTGAATAATTGTACTGTTGTGCCTACAGCTGCCCCTACAAAGGTCTAATCCTGCAGGGGCCCATTCAGCAGAAGACTACGAGCAGACGCAGGTCGGGCCTCAATATGGCCGCGTGGAATTTCCTATCACAATATACTTTATGGGAGCAAACTAGAAAGCAAAGGTACTTACCTGTATCAAGAGCTAACTTCGCTCCAAGGCTTGGGCAGGCCGTGAGTGTGTGTAATGGTAGATAGCGAGTCGTGTACAGTGATGTGTGAATGTGTGGGGCCTTGGCAAGCATAGGCGGCCAGCAGCGGCCGAGTTCCAGGTTGCTTCAAAATGCTGCATCGCTCCAGACTGCTTCAGTCTCAGTCCGGACCACTTCTCTCTTCACTGTCACTATTCAGTCTCTTAGCTTCATTGCACATTTAACCAACTCTAACTCGCCTAATTCCACACTCATCGCAGAGTTGAACACGTGATACCCAACACGGTAACGGACAGTAATTCAAAGTTCCATATTCAATGTCCCGGATTCACTTATCACAAATTATAAATTCGACACAGAATAACACGTCGCACAAGATTCAAAATACGCCTCGTTGACACGCAAATTAATTTAACTAGGCAGCCAAAACACAAAAGGCACTAACGCGACGACCCAATTATAACGATATCCTGCCAATTAACCGGGAGAAGCTCTCAAACAAGGAATGCGCGGCTCGAATCCTAGACCGTATATCTCGTCGACGCGCGTATACTATTCCGCACTCTCTCATGAGTTAAATATCGCACGATTCACATACCTACGTGACGAAGAAGCACGTACTTCATCTAGCTATCTAGATCCACGACGGGCCCGTGAATTTAGGGAAGAGGGCTTGACGGTCTCCCCGCATCGTGGCCGGCGGGGCACCGACGCTTCGCCCACTCGTCGAGCGACTGACTGCCGCATACCGCCGCCCCACCTGGCGGCATTTATTTCACCTACATACTATCGGGTGACGCGACAGCGTCGAACGCAATTGGAGGGCGTTCAACATGGCCAAATTTGGGCATAAACATGTACTAATGTTTAAAATAATCACTTTTTACTTTATTTTTCCTTCCTCCCTCGTGGCTATCTGAGCTCCTGTTATTTTGAACTCTTGGTAACTTGAAAGTATTCTCTGGTCCCTTGAGCTTCAAATTATCGAGAGGCGATTGTATTATATTTATGAGATATTTAGCTACTGATTATCGGTAGGAATTTAGAAATAAAATTATAGGCGCTTTGATGGTTTCCCGAAAACACTATGTAATATCGATAATAGACAATAATTAACCGATCCGTTGCGGCACCGATTTTCGACAACTTTTAGCTGTGGCGGCGAACAAATATTTCATGACACGCCTACTGTGCCATCAGCCATGTGTAAAAATAATTTCCTATTATATGCTTTTTTCACTTGTTTAGACCTAATTAAGTTTAGTTGACATCAAACATCAGTTACAAATGGAAGGATACTTGTTTTTAGTGGGTAACTACGTGTTTTTCTCATAGATATAAGAAAAATAGAGGACATGGCATGTGGTCACGTGATCTGAAGTCAAGTGTTTCTCAAATATGGCGACGACTCCACCCACAAGAAATAGCGTTGTTTTTGTCGATATTTTCAGTATCAATGCTATATAAATTATGACGTATTGTCCATCTCATAGGTATATATATTAAATAAACAAATATTAGATCACTACACTATTGCATTGGGTTAATCCTGTAATAATAGTTGTATTGAGATGATAAATAAATAAATCTTACGTTCAACTCCGAATAGGAAAGTTTTGAAACTGTAATTGCTTTAAGATATGGTGAAGCAACAGTCAAAAGTAAGCGAAGAGACCAAGGAAAGAGCACTTGATTGGAGCTTTAACTCCTGTCTTTTCAGAACACGTATGCGACGTGCACCAGAATATTATACTGAGTTCGTGCAACGAGCTAACGTTTTTCTTAACGATGGCAATCTGCACATAAGCACTCCATCCGTGCGTCCCTGGGTCGACGCATGCATTTTTTTTCTCCTCTGCAGAGATTAACGAAACCACCACTATAGGCAATTTATTAGGCTTCGTATGATTTTTTGTCCAGCCCATGCTGTCCCACTACTAGGCAGAAGTCTCCCCTAAGTTTTTCCCAGTGGTTTTGTCCTGCACCACATCGAACCAGCCCCAACGGTATGCGTCCAGGTTGCGTGAATTATATCATATATATAGATTTTATAGCGGCTGGGAAGTTAGTTGCGAGCGCAAGTCCTGTACCTTCACGCTTCGCTTTACGCACTGTGATCTGAGACACCATCAAGCTTTCTTTCAACTATATGTGCGCGGATTAGCGCTCGATCTTAACTTCCAAGCCGCCATAAAGATTCGACAACACCTTTCTTTCGTGGTAATAAGTCGGTTACCAGTTCAAGTCACCATGAACGTGCAGTAGACTGACCTTTATCTTGATTTATTTAAAGTTTGTGGAGCATGTGTTCTTTCATACATAGTTACTAGCCGTCATCTCTCTTTTTTTTTGATAATAAACATTATTTATTTATTTATCTCAGTAATCTAATCAAGTTGAGCAGGCCTTTTCTAACCATACCACCGTCCACACAATCCATTAATCATTTAACTATCCTAACGTATTCCTCAATCTTCAGCATCCCATGTTCATACCATATGACAACCAATTTCCATGCAACATTTCGATCAATAGGGGTGGCTACGCCACTTCAGACTCCCACTTCCATACTCATTTCTCATTATATCCCATTTGTGTAACACCACAAAATATCAATTTTATAGTGTTTACAACCTGCAAGTTCAAAAAAGTACAACTTCCACCAGTAGCGTAATTAGTGGTGGATACGGGAGGTAAACGAGAAAGTAAGGATTAAAAATAAATAAATTAACAATAATGTATACTGATTAAAATCATTTATTCGTTACGAAATAATATTATTTAGTCATAAAATTTATTTTAGACACATGAACCAAATCACCCTTTAGCCGAACTACGTCCAGCGTTCTATTTATACATTATTTTTCAAAATGCAAGGAGCATAATATCCTTCTTACTACTGCAGGTTTTATGTTTTCCTGGCCTATATATTCAATCCACAATTTTTGAAGGCCTTCATTTTTGGCAACCTAAAATAAATATTATGCATCCTTAAGTACCATCAAAAATAATCTTAACATCATCAAATCTTTTGACGAAAAAAACTATTATAGAAAATTTACGATTTACACTATTTTCAAGTTCTTTTCTTAAATGAAAGGCTCTCAATCGATCGTTTCATTAAATATACAGTTTACGTATCTAACACGTTATTTGATCATAGGACTACATTAATATTATTGTTAAAATTTATATCGATAATTTCAAAACATGACAGCACGTAAGGGCAACACTATGTAAATATGTAAACAATCAAAATGTTTACTTGTTTAAATTTACATGATAATAGTCATTGGAAATTCTAGATAATAGCGGGAAACACGATTTAGAACCCATAACATGAACACGAAACGCAATTCACACGAAAAAATATACAATTATGGAAAAAAATTACAACTGACCTGAAAAATTACAATCCTTCTTAATTTTTACGAGAATTTGAATTACATCCATTGATGCAACACTTTGTCATGTTGTTTTTGCTCATTTACCCTTTACTAATGAAAAAAGCTCCAAAATAGTCAAAATTCACTGTAACACTGCAAAATAACTCCGAACAAGGTTTAAGATGACGACGAACTACCACAAATGAACGTCATCCTAAAATGGCGTCATGCTTCAAGGTGGAGCTTAGTGAAATTATGAAAACTGTCAACAGAAAATTGAAGTCTAAGATATGTACTTATCTTTTTTTACATTTGAAAATCATAACGTGTGAGAATGAGATAGATATATTTTTGTTGGCAAGGTTCATGTTCGCATGATATTTGTATAACCAAAAAATATATATGCAATTTACTGCTTATCCTCTATTTTTCTTATATCAATGGTTTTTCTACATGTTTTCTTTGAAATTGGGAGTGACTTTTTTATGCAGAGATTACAAACCTTTTTTTTTTGTTTTATAAAAAAATCATTTATATAAG